CCTTAGATGGATTCTCAATCTCCCTGCCAGCATTTGGCTAATTAGGCATTGGGTGCATCCCAAGTCCAGCAATCCTGCTACTTCTTCCCCTTTCCATCTGCTGGGGATAAAAAGTCTTAAGGGTAGGGTGAGTGGTTCGATTGGGTTGCTTACCAGTGGGTCATCTTCTGGATTGCTTTCAAACTAGCTAAAGTCTTCTTGGGGTGCTGGAATTCCTTCCTCTGGGTTTGTGGGGGATGAGGTTCCATGGCCTCCTGGCTCCTCAGTGTGGTTTCTTTTCCTCGGGGGGGGGGGTTGCAGGTTTTACCCCTGATGGGTGATCAGGCTTTCTGGCAGGGTTTTTGAATGGCACTATGCTGCATGGTGCCCCCCCTTCCCACACTTGAAACAACCTATGGCTTTGGCACCATGGCAGTTTGGGGCTTGAATGGTTCGCACAACCCCTGGGATGAGGATCTTCTCCAGGCTCTGCCAGCGCAGTACTGGGTTGGGTCATGTCAATCTCTGCCTTCTCTGCCATCAGGTACTATTCATGCAGGTGGTTAGCCCTCCCCCCTCAAGCCCGGCAGACAATGTACAGGTTGTCATTGAGCCCATCTTTGAACAAGCAGACTAGGATATTCTCTGGCCAGTTGACTCGGCCAGCCAGGTTACAGAAATNTACAGGTCTGTTATGGTGGGGGGGAAATGCTTAGATATCTTACTTAACTGAATTGGTTTCAGAATATGTCATAAAGGTGTAATGTTATTGGAGGTTTATTGAAACTGCAAATGGATGCCAGTAGGTGGTTGTGTCTTTAAATACAAATGATTCTAGATTAAAACATATTTAAATAATTGTAATTAAATGAGAATTGTGGTACAGGGATAGTAAAATACATATTTTTTTTTATTTAAAATGTACAATTCAATTTGAATGAAGTATATGTAAGGATTGTGGAAGAAACGCACGAAATGTATTTGTAACCAATCAATACGCTTTCTACAAGATGTAACAAAAGATGATTCTTTTTTTGTGTTTTTGTTTAATTAAAACAATAACAAATTTTCAAAAAAAAAAAGCTGACAAGTTAGTGAAACAATTCCATAATACATTTCCCCATAAGCAAAAGGGTCCCCCTGGGGCGGGGGAGTTAGTAAGTAAATGTTAACCCCCTGCATTATTCTCTTTTCTTCTGAGGAGAGGCTGCCTATTAGGCCTGCAAGACATCTTTTCTTTTTGGACTTCAGGCCTGCCCCACTTTCTATTCATTTTCTATTGTGGGAAAATGGGAGGAGGGATTATATAGAGTTGGGTGATATGTAGCTATGTAGCCATAATAACATTCTTTCTAGAAAGCAAAAGGTGATCCTTTATCTCTGTACCTAGCCAGAACTGGATGGGAGGAAGCTGCCAGTATGGCAGTGGAAGATTGGACCATGTGATGAACTTGTGGGTGTAAGGGCAGGATCTTGAACTTTCAACTGGGGTGGAAAACCTGGAAGCTTTCAGATTCGGGTTTTCCCAGATGTGCCAACATGGCTCTCTTAATAAATTGGAATTTTGAGGAATCCTTTGCCTCAGACTCTGATTTACGTTTGGATGCTATTTGGAACCCTGACAGCAGACTGGATTTCCTCAAGGGCCAGATCAGCATTGTAGTTCTCTGCAGACTGGCCCGGGTGTGGGGGTAGAAGGAGAGGCTGAGACACACACTTCCTGCAATACCCTGCTGGCCAAAATGTAGCATAGGGCCCCTGTGCCCTGTTTTTAGCTTGGACTGCCTCCTATATCACTTTACCAGCCCAAATGGGGCACACAGGCCTACCATTTCTGAGGGCACATGAGGAGATTTGAGCACCCTGTGGGCCAGATACGGCCCGCGGGCCTTCAGTTTGGCACCCATTCTCTAATGACACTGATTCCCATTCATGATATCATTGGCATGGATTGTTATAAAATCAGGATAATTTGATCTAGCAGTTTAAATCTTAGTTTAAAATACTGAGGGAATACAGGTACTATGTTTTCCCAAAAATACGACCTACCCTGAAAACAAGCCCTAGCCTGAATTTTTTTTGGATGGATCTAATTTAAGACCTCAAAAATAAGCCCTAGTGAAGTGGGTGAGCGTGGCCAGCACAGGAGGCAGCCCTTCCCTAGTCACCTCATGGAGGCTCGGTTTCTTAATCGTGGCCCTGTGAATCAGCTGACCCAGGGAGGGCCGGGAGCTGCCTCTCATTCTGTCTCTCTGGGTGCCTGGAGGTGTTTTCAATGCACTCTTTCTAGCCCAGCCCTGCCTGCAGCACTGGGCAACCTTGCAGCCAAGGGCCCCTCTCTTCTGCTGCTCATCTTGTGGCTCTGGAGAAGGTGGTGACCATAATTTGCGCTCTGCTGGGTCTAGAGCTCAGGTTTTGCTCATGCTATGACATGGCAGAAAGCCATGTGGCACATCAGAATAGGCTCCCCCCACTGCTGGGTCTGTTGCACCTGCCTCACCTGGCTCCACTGCTCTCAGTAGCCCTGCTGGGCTGCTTCTTCCTGTGTGGCAACTCGGTCCAGATCTCTAGAGCACCACCCCTGTCACTGGCCTGCCAGGGCCCCCTTCAGCAGCAGTTGCGCTGCCCTGTGTGAGCTCTGCGGTGGGACAAAGGAGGGAGGATGAGTTCGCCCCTTCCTCCTTTGCATCCCACAACCCCATCTTCTCTGACCGCTGAGTCCCCAGTCTGCCCCCCTCTTGCTGGAACAAGATATGGAACTCGATGTTACCTGCTGAGGCCCCTGAGTGCAATGCTCTGCTGCAGCTTCAGAGCAAACTTCCACCTTCCCTCTGCAGGATTGCAAGGCTAGAGGCTTCAGAGGGAGCATTTTTGGGATGTGTATCTGTACAGGGTTCCCCAAGGAAAGGACGATCGGCAGGAAAATGGAGGGGTGGAATTTTCCTGCTGATCATCCTTTCCTTGGGAAGCCCTGTACAGACGCACATCCCAAAAATGCTCCCTCCACGCATCTTTGACACAAGGAAAGGACGATCAGCAGGAAATTGGGGAGGAAGGGTGGCCTGTGGGGAGTTCTGGGAGTTGAAATCCACAAGTCTTAAAGTGGCCAAACGGCTGCCCATGCTGCTGCTGGCCTCATATGGGCTCTTTGCACTCCTGGCAGCGCTGCTCTCAGCCATCCTGCTGGGCTGCTCCTGCCGGGTGCAGGATGAGTTGTCCCAGATCGAAAACCTCTGGAGTGCTACTGACCTGCCAGGGCCCCTTCATGAGCCGGCACCAGTGGAGTCATGCCATTTGTACTACCTTTGGGCTGCTGAGCACTGACCTGCATGCCTACTAAGCTACACTGAGCCTGTCGCTCTTTGGGTCCTGGTGGGCACTGAAACTCTCTTGCCAGCTCTGTGTGGTGTAGCTCCAGCAGGAGGTAGTGGGAGTGCTGGGAAGCAGCTGTGGCTTGGTGGGGGCTAGGCAGAAGGTGAGGTGGCTGCACAGCCACCACAGGCGAGCCAGACGCCGAAGGCAGCTAGGAGCAGCCCCAGGTCTGCCTCCCACAGCCAGCAAGAGAGCTGCACCACCCGCCAGGGCCCAAAGAGGCCCTACAGCAACAAATAGGTGTGTAGGCTGGCGCTCAGCAGCCCAAAGGTGGCAGCAAGTGTGGTGGCATAGGCAGCATGGTTCCATCGGTGGCTGCTTATGAAGAGGCCCTGGTAGGCTGGTGGTACTCTAAAGGCTTTCAATCTGGGATGGCTCACCCCATGCCAGGCAGGAGCAGCCCAGCAGGCTGGCCAAGAGCAGCGCTGCCGGGAGGGCAAAGAGCCCCGCGAGGTCAGCAGCAGCATGGGCAGCTGCAGACAATCCACCATGGCCAAGAAATGTCCCAGCAGTAGCTCGGCCAGCAGGCAGGGCAGGTGGGGGCTGGGGTATACCAAGAGCTTGGCCAATTGCAGCCTCGGGCCAGCAGACAGTGTGATGGAGTGGGTGGGGCCAGCAGTAGCTGCTCTCCCACTCCTGTCGGCCCCCTGCTCGCCACCTCCTGCACATCAAAAAAATAAGACCTCCTCAAAAATAATCTGTTCAAAGTTATGGTGGCACTGAATGAGTAATACTTATGACTGGTCCTCAAAATTCTGGCCATTGCAGAATCCACACAGTCACATCATGTTTGGGTTCACACTTTAGGGCCATTGCAGCCTCCCCTGATTGTCATTTGCACCATTCCCTGTCAGCCTCTCACAAGCAAAGTGAATGGGCAAGCTGGAAGGGAAAGTTGCAAGTTACTCCAATAAGTTATTCCCATTGCTTTTTCTCCCAAGGAGCCTCCTAGAGAGCACCTCCCCCAAATCATTCTGCTTGAACTGTGTAGCAATCATCCACAATCCTGCTGACCTGCCTACAGTCCCCCATTATCCATAGCACTTCCCCATGATCCCCAATGGACCTCTGCCAATCTGCTCATGCTCCAAAGAGCCTGCCACTAACAACCTATTTGTACCACCCATAGCCCAGGCTGGCTTCCCTGCCCATGTGGACTTGGGGTTGTACCACATTGCTTAGCAAAGGAAATTCAAGACCCAGTTGCTATTTTAACCTGAGGACTGTCTATAGGTATTAATAAGATGGAAAGAATGCATACAGTTTAACATATAAATTGATAGACAAAATGTTGAAAATAGTGATTTTCAATTTGATAAAGAGACTATTAATTAATCTGTCCTTTCCAGTTTCTGGCTCTTGGAATTCTTTACTTCTACATTGAGCATTGATTTTTGTTTTTTGATGTGGAGACAAAAGCTGTATTTCCAAAGGACATACATTCTTTTATTAGGTAAGGAGGAACTGTAGACTATACTTTTAACTCATCTTTTTTGTAATTTATGAAAGCACCTCTAATAAAGGTAAGGGATGGAAAGGTGGGGAGAATTTTAAAAAATTATAAATGGGCTTCTGGTTGGCTGAAGTTATGTGTTAGTTAAATGAATGTGCCACCTTTCTTACTTTCTATTCTTGATTCTCTCTGCTAGCCCGAGGAGATGACAAGATTGAGAAGCATGAATAGGCAGCTCCAGATAAATGTAGACTGTACTCTGAAAGAAATTGACCTCCTTCAGTCTAGAGGTAGCTGTTTTCAATGATTTTCTGTATCTGAAATGCATTGATTTGGAGCTTTATGTAAAAATATAAGAGGTTTGATTAATATTATTGTCTTTTCCTGTCATAGTCATAGAAAGAAAAATCATCTGATCTATTTTCTTTTTACTAGATGTGTAGTTTTGATACTTTAGTTAAAACGTATTTGGAAATACTGATTCTGTATCATTTAAGTGACAAAATTTGCAAGCATTCTTTATTATATATGGGCAGTTTCCAAAATAATAAGGCTATGTGACTTTAAGACACTGTGGTTTGCTTCATTTCAGTATCGTTTCATGTCAAAAGCACACTTCACCAGTAACTTCTTTTATCTTTTAACATATGTCCTGTTCAAAATACATTATTTTCTGCTTTTTATTAATAGGAAACTTTGACCTGAAAGCCATGAATAATTTTTATGATAATATAGAGCCTGGTCCTGTTGTGCCGCCAAAGCCATATAAAAAAGGTGAGTCACTACACAAATCTTTAAGATGTACCATATTTTTTGGAGTATAAAACTCACTCACTCCCCCCAAAAAAGGGGGTGAAAATCTGAGTGCGTCTTATACTCTGAATGTAGCTCCACTTCCCCCCCTGTCCCCCACTCTTCGGACATTTTTGGCCTCTGTGCATTGTATTTTCGGGCCGTTCCAGGTGGCGGAAATCCTCATTTCCACTCGGATTTTGATTATGAGCAGCACAGATCTTTTTATCCATTTAAAACAAACCCTACGAGCATTTAACTGGAGTGGGTGGGATGGGTGGGGGATGATTTTCATGGGGGCAGAAGAGAGACTTGGCACCAAAGTTATAGAAATAGTAATTTACGGAAGTATAAATATTATTGCCATGTGGCAATATTGTACAAATTTGATTTTCCATGCATTATTTTGTGTAGTATTTTCAAAATCTTTAATTAGGGTACAATATAGTACCGGGATGGTGAACCTATGGCACACGTGCCACAGCTTTCCCTGCCTCCCCCCAGAGGCCCTCCGGAGGCTTCAGGAACTGAATTCCGATTTGCTCATAGGGTCGGTTTAAGCCCTCCGGAGGCTTCAGGGATCTTCAGGAGGCTTCCCTGAAGCCTCTGGAGGACTAAAAAGGACCCTACGAGCAAACAGGGGGGGGGGAGGGCGGGGGAGGCTGTTTTCGCCCTCCCCAGGGTCCTATAAAGCCTCTGGAGACTGGGGAGGATTAAAAAAGCATGCAAAAATGGGGGGAGCGCCTCTCATGCGCGCATGTTACATTATGGGTGTGGCATGCCCATGCATAACCCCTCTGAGCTCCCTTCCCTTATGGCAGTGTTTTTCAACCTTTTTTGTGCAAAGGCACACTTTTTTCATGAAAAAAATCACGAGGCACACCACCATTAGAAAATGTTTAAAAAAATTAACTCTGTGCCTATATTGACTATATATAAAGTGATGTCCCTGCATGCGCTACCTCCCGGCGGTCCCGGCGTTTTTAAAGTAAACGCGGGGCCGCAGGGACTTAATAGAGGCATCTCTNCTGGCTGGAATGGTAGAGGGACTTCTGGTTGAGCAAGGGTTGGACTAGAAGACCTCCAGGGTCCCTTCTAGCCCTCTTCTGATTGATTGATTGATTGATTGATTGATTGATTGATTGCCTGAAAACAGGCAATGGGGCAACTTGGGAGGGCAGGGAGCTGCCTTCCACATCTGTGAATCCTCCTTGCTTTGGGGCAATTTTAGAAGAAAAGAGCCCCACAGGAAACCCAGCAAGACCCAGCTTTCCAAAATTGCCTGGGAGATAAACCACCATCCTCACCTTGTGGCGGTGAGTTCTGCAGTTTACCTACAGGCTGCTTCGAGAAATCTTTCCTTTTGTCTGTCTACTCCCAGGTAACCTTCCGTTCATGTCCCTAACTGGGACCGGGAACTTTGTCACTAAGCGATGTGGTCATTAAGCAAAAACTCCCACTCGTGGCAGCAGTTCTGGTTGCGGTCGTTAAGTGAATTGCATGCGGTCTTTAAGAGCAAGGTCACGGGACTGCGACCGTTAACTTCCTGCTGGCTTCTGCCTCAAGCTTTGAGATAATTGCAACTTTGCTACAACTTTGGAGGATCGCCGGCCACAGCCTTCCTCGTTTAGTGCCATCATAACTTTGGTCCCTTTGGTCGCTCAGTGAGGACTACTACCTGTATTTAACTTCAGTACCCCACCCTAAAGAGAAGGGCAGGAAGGCCAGACCTGAGGTCGGGGGAGGCACTGAGCCAGTGGTGGGTTTCAAAAAAATTTGGAACCTCTTCTGTAGGGGCGGCCTGCTTTCTGGGTCCCACTGGTGGAACCTCTTCTAACCGGTTCAGTAGATTTGACGAACCGGTTCTACTGAACCGGTGCGAACCGGTAGGAACCCACCTCTGCACTGAGCACTGGGGGAGCCCTTATCCTCAGGTGACAGACTCCCCCCTGGCACACCCAGAAAGAATCTAAGCCCTCCCCCCTGGGCAGAAGCCTTGGGCAGCCATCCATCATCCCACGGTGGGCACTGAAGGAGCTTCGGGGAAGGTTCAGACGTGGGAGGGGAAGGCTGCAGATTGTCCAACCGAGTCCAAATGGAAGACGCCTCCTTCTTCGCGGCTGACAAGAGACAGGGAAGTGGAGAGCAGAGGTCCGAGGCAGGAAGCGAAGCCTCCGTGACTCCATGGCCAGCAGGCTAATGGGGTGGAACACACACACACACTCTCACACACACACGCACACAACAAAACAGCGATGGTAGGAAGCAGGATTTCCTGGCGGAGAGGCTGCACGCCTTCCCTTCTTCCCAGCCTCACTGCTTCGCATCAGGCTGTCCTTGAAGGAGGCAAGAGTCCTGGGCTCCTGGCAGCGTCTTTCCAAAGCTTTCTCTCTGCCCCCCCCCCCAACGTCTTTTCAGCCACCTCCCTCTTCTTCCTGCCGTGACCGGGGAGGGGGGGGGATCAAGCCGCAGAGCCCTTGCTCGGGGGTCAGCCTCTTCGGTTTCCATGGAAAGAGTGAATGGGCAGCCCCTCCCCGCGGTTTATTAGAATTCCTTTTATTCCGATGGTGGAAGAGTGGAGGGGGGGGGCGCAGCAGAGCAGAAGGCTTTCATGTGGCCCATAGGAGAGGCAGAGGAAGGTCAAGGCCAGTGTGGGGGGGGGAGCGGAGAGAGAGGGGGGGGGAGGTCTCCTCTCAAGGATAAGACAA